AGAAGAAGAACAAATACCAGCAAAAGCAAAATGACACCATTTAAATATTGATCGATCGTTTGTTTAATTTCCTGTTAATCAATGAAACTCTTTTAACCTCAAAGTTTATTCAAAGTTTCAGAGTCACTTTAATAAACTTTATTGATGGTTCAAGTCTTTTATTTTGAAGAGCTGTGGCCTAACAAGGTGGCGGCGGCGTGTTTACACTCGGTTCACTTCTGGTCTCTGACGAACGACAGAAAGTGAAATTAATAACGGACAGATTCACAGTGAGTCCAGGACAGGAAGTGAGCTGATCAGGTTTTATCAGGACAATAAAACCACAGACAGACTGATCAGGATCAGGATTACAGGAGGATCCTGACCTCCCGCTGACCCCCTCAGGGTGTGATGGATCTGGTCCTGGATCAGATTTATAGTCTGCCAGGACTCAAAGTGAACTCAGATAAAACAGTATCAAGTTTTTAAAAACCAGGTCTGCCTCAAATCCCGTGTCTCTGTGTGTCTCTGTGGTGGCTCTGTGGTCCAATCAGAGAGCTCGAGTTGCGCTCAGAGTGATCAATAATCAGTGTGAGGAGAACTTATTGAGGCTTCAGTTATTGATATTAAAAGAGAAACCCGGCCCAGGTTGTACATTAACATATTCTGGGAGACTACGGACCCTGGACCGTCCTCGGTCCCTGTGCAGGGTCAGACCACCTCCTGATGAACCTGAATCAGCTGAGAGCAGTGAGACTGTTGGACGTCTGCAGTCACTGCTGAGGTATGTGGACGCTGTCAGGGATCCAACACGTCCGCCCCTATAGACTGCAGACTGTGGGAGAGTTAATATTCTCTCTCACACTGACCTAAGTTACATATATTAAATATTCTTATAGAATATATATAAAAATATATTTATGTTAAAGTTATATCTAACAATTATATTCATTTATAAATTAATCATTCTATATCAATGACTCTTAACTTAATCACACTATAGACTGACTAATAATATATAGTCATTATTTTAATATATTAATATTTTATTAAAATATAATTATCTAATTAAATATAATTAGTATAATATTAGTATAAAGTACTTCAGGATTGTATGAACTGTAGTACTGGGAGGGCGGCTGTGGCCACGCCCCTTTCCCCTCAGCAGACCAATCAGCGGAGCCGAGAACCAGAAAACAAAGCGTCCTATTGGAGGAGATGGTTTCCAGGCGCCCCCTCCTCCTCCTGCCTTACAGGGAGAGGGAGGGAGGAAGGGGGGCGCCTGGAAACCGTTCAGGCAGAGCGAGTGAAGTGTGTGCGGGGGGAGTCCGCATCAGTCTGCCTCGGTCCCGCAGACCTCGCGGAGGGAGACCGGCTCAGTGACCCAGGTCGAGGTTTTTATTAACTTTTGGAGTCTGGAGCAGTTTTTGGGAGACACTGAGAGGTTTCTCTGTACGAGCCTGAAGTACTGAGGGATCCAACAACTGTTGATCGGTGGATCTGATTTAATCCTCCGTACTACAGAAGTATGAAGTCCACCATCTGTGGAATAATGCTGCACTAAAGGGTTCTTACACAGTTCTTAAAAGAGAGCAGCTGGACCTTCAGGACTGTTTCATTCTGGGCTGCAGGAGGTTTTAGAAAGCCTCCCCTACTTCGTGGACTTTGCTGTGGGGGTCTGTATCGTCCATCATGGTGGCGGGGAGAAGCTGGCGGTGGGTTTGGATAACGGGCTGCAGTCTGTTCCTCTTCCAGTCAGGAGCCTCTCAGTACGAGAAGGGGATTTCGGTCCCGGATCATGGGTTCTGCCAGTCCATCTCCATCCCGCTCTGTACGGACATCGCCTACAACCAGACCATCATGCCCAACCTGCTGGGCCACACCAACCAGGAGGACGCCGGGCTCGAGGTGCACCAGTTTTACCCGCTGGTCAAAGTCCAGTGCTCCGTGGACCTGAAGTTCTTCCTGTGTTCCATGTACGCGCCGGTCTGCACGGTTCTGGAGCAGGCCATCCCGCCCTGCCGGTCGCTGTGCGAGCGGGCGCGGCAGGGCTGCGAGGCGCTCATGAATAAGTTCGGCTTTCAGTGGCCGGAGAGGCTGCGCTGTGAGAACTTTCCGGTCCACGGCGGTGAGGAGATCTGCGTGGGTCAGAACACCACCGACGCAGACGGCCCCACGTCCGACCCGATCCCCATCCTCCCCGAGCTGGTCACCCTGCCGCCGTACATCCGCCACAACCAGCCCTTCTCCTGCCCACTGCAGCTCCAGGTGCCCCCCTACCTCAACTACCACTTCCTGGGGGCGAAGGACTGCGGCGCCCCCTGCGAGGTCTCCAAACCCAACGGACTGATGTATTTCCGCGAGGAGGAGTTGAAGTTTGGCCGACTCTGGGTCGGGATCTGGTCGGTCCTGTGCGGCGTCAGCACCCTCTTCACTGTGCTCACATACCTGGTGGACATGAGGCGGTTTCGATACCCGGAGAGACCCATTATCTTCCTGTCGGGGTGCTACTTTATGGTGGCGGTGGCGTACGGCGCCGGCTTCCTGCTGGAGGACAGAGTCGTGTGCGTGGACATGTTCAACCCAGAGGGCTACAAGATGGTGGCCCAGGGCACCAAGAAAGAGGGCTGCACCATTCTCTTCATGATCCTCTACTTCTTCGGCATGGCGAGCTCCATCTGGTGGGTGATCCTGTCCCTCACCTGGTTCCTGTCCGCCGGGATGAAGTGGGGCCACGAGGCCATCGAGGCCAACTCGCAGTACTTCCACCTGGCTGCGTGGGCGGTGCCGGCAGTTAAGACCATCACCATCCTGGCTATGGGTCAGGTGGACGGCGACCTGCTCACCGGCGTCTGCTACGTGGGGATCTACAACGTGAACGCCCTGCGAGGCTTTGTCCTGGCGCCGCTGTTCGTCTACCTCTTCATCGGCACTTCCTTCCTGCTGGCGGGCTTCGTGTCGCTCTTCCGCATCCGCACCATCATGAAGCACGACGGCACCAAGACGGAGAAGCTGGAGAGGCTGATGGTGCGGATCGGCGTGTTCAGCGTGCTGTACACGGTTCCCGCCACCATCGTCATCGCCTGCCACTTCTACGAGCAGGCGTTCCGGCCGCAGTGGGAGAGGACGTGGCACAGGCAGACCTGCAAACGCTTCGCCGTGCCGTGCCCGGCTGGGAACTTCGCATCACTGACGCCTGACTTCACCGTGTTCATGATCAAGTACCTGATGACCATGATTGTCGGGATCACGTCCGGATTCTGGATCTGGTCTGGGAAGACGCTGCAGTCGTGGCGGCAGTTTTACAAAAGACTGAGCGGCGGCGAGCAGGGTGAGACGGCGGTGTGACAACCACGATCGCCGCTCAGAGACAATATGAACGCCAACCAGCTGCAGTCGCTGCGAGCTTTCCACTCGTCGCTCTTTTAATTCTTTATTCTGCTTCACCGATGGAAGTTTCTCTTCAACGGGTCTGTAAACGTCTCCTGCTTCCTTTAGTTTAATAAGCAAATAATAATCATAATAATAAATCTAATTAAAAGAAGTAATTTAATCCTCATTCACATTAATTCAACCCAACTCATAATAATGAATGTGCAGTATTTTAATTATAAACACTGGTAAATTAAATAATTAACGTTTGTATGAAGATGAATTTAAGTTATTCAGATAAATTCTATGAACATAGTTTAATTTTTTTTAGTTTGGAGAAAGCTTCATATGAGAGTAAAATTCTGACTAGTTTTAAGTTTAATTAACTTTAATTTGATGAGTTACTTGAACTCAAATCAATCATGTTTGTTCCTGCTGGGATGGAGGACCATAAAGTTATTATAACCCACTGCTAACAGGAGCTAACAGCTAACTGAACACTGTTAATGGACTACAAACAACGGCTGCTAGCACAAAGCTAAATCAATCAGTGGGTTATAATGTTAACGATCACAGACCTGTCGGATCAATAACTTCCAGTCGGTTTGATCAGGAATGTGTTTCTATGTAAATACACTCTTTAAAGCAGCGTGTGTCTCTTTTTGTACTTGTAGTTTTTCAGAATAAAATGTAAAAAGTTGTTTAAAGTCTGCAGCTACAGTTCAGATCCTGAAACCTGATCCTCTCTCTTCCCTTTTGTCCCGAGACCCTCCCCGAGCCTCAAAGCCTGAAACCAGAGCAGTCTGACCTCCTTCCAGGAACACAACGCACATTTCAGCCTGTTCACTCGTTCCTTTAATGACACACACACTGATTCACAGCTGAGGCTCGTTCATGGAGGAAAGTGGCTCCTAACTTTTCTCCAGTGTGAAATGAATCCAGAGGAAGTTGTCTGGTAACTGCTAACAGCTGCTAACAGCTCATCCACAGACTTTAAGAGGTACATTAATATTTTCATGTAGTTAAAGCAGAAGTCTTGTTGGCGGTGTGGCGCCATCTGGTGGTGGAAACTGTTTGCTGCAGTTTCAGTGTAAAATCAACAAATATAATAACTAATGTAAGTGCTATTATATATGTTTATGTCTAAAATAATGAGAAATATGGTTACAAAGCTCATTATTTATCAGTGTAATGATTAAAATAATGAACAGGAACAGGAAACGA